ATATATATATATATATAATCAAATATTAGATAGAGAAATCACTCAAAACGATGTGACGATTGAGAATTGATATTCATCTGATTGACACAGTGTAAAACGGTCTATCAACATTAGTGTCGGGTATCAGATATCAGATATCATCAGATAAAGATGGGTATGGGAAAAGTAAATGATATATGGTGATGTTTGGTTGATGATTAATGGTAAGTATTATGATAAAGTGGCTAAAAAGAAAAAGGGAAAGGGAAACGGTGGTGGTCCTTGGTGCAAGGACAAAGATAGAATTCTACTACAAGGACAACCCATGTAGCCATATTGAAGCAAAGAACAAAAAGTGGTGTGTCTTTAAATATTTTTTTAAAGGAGTAGGGTATATCGTACTGTTCTTTCGTATTCAAACATAAGTGTAGTAATTTTGTTTATTTATTTTATTCATTGTAATTTTGGAAAGAAGTAGGATGGGTGGTTGTTGATTCATACTCCAATGGTGACACAAAGTTACACATTTAAAGAAAATGGTACTTTGTGCTTGTCTTACTTCAAGTTTGATGACTTGTATCATATGCCCATTTTCTGCATCTTTGTCATTATTAACATAAATGAAGGAGAAAAAATGTATATATACATAAAATGTTATTGTATAGTATTTGTGGAGCAAGCATCTAAAGTTCATATTATAAAACAAAAACCGTTGTAGATTTGCAAATTGCAAGATACCTATTTTAAAACATTATTTTTAACAATGATTTACAACATGTGAATATAAATATATACGCATCATGAATTTGATTGTTGAGTATATGGAGAACGATGAATTTTGGTCCGAGTAGACTTGACTTTTGCTGGTTTAAGTTTGAAAGAGATGGTTTTTTCAAGAAAGATGTGTTTAATCAAAGTTAGATAAATTGGTATTTGTTTAAGGGTAGCTCTTATAGACTTCTACCATTAAATTTATTGAAACGCATGCTGATATCATTTTTGGTTTCCTGAATATATATATACAAACCAGACAAGATAGATCTCCAGACTATTTTAAAGTAACCACACAATGAGCTAATTGTCACAAAAAATACAAAATATCCGAAAAATATTTACATATAACGTATAATATTCATGTATTGAATAATTTTCATTCATACTCATCACCCACACATTATAAACATAACTAGAAATGAGGCCCGTGCGTTGCACGGGTCGGTTTTTTTGTTGATGTTTGGGAGGTCATGAAAGTAGGATGCTATAATGTCATTCAAATACTAAGCAATTGGATAGATTGAATAGAGTATAATGTACTAATGTAAGAAATGAAAGTAAACAAATAAATTCGTGTACATTGCTATTTTTTGCATTTAACGCTTTTGGCTGATATTAAAAACATTTCGAGTCAAAATCCCATTCCTCATAACTTGAATAAAGCCACCTGAAGAAAAGAAAACATATTTTGTATTATTATCGTATTGACATTTTTTTAGATGCAATTGTGCATGCTAAAAAGGTTACAATATCTACCCTTATCCATCAAGAATATGTTATTTAAAAAAAAAAAAAAAAAATTTGGGTCCATTTTCTCCAATTGCCGTTTTTTTAAATTAAAACTAAATGAAACGTGTTTGTTGACCACAATTAGAATCTATCTCAAGGTATTATCAAGAAAATTGTGGTAAGGATTGTACCTAATCGAGGCAACTAATTTTGATTCTGAAATCTTGAATCCTGCACTTGCTATGGCATCAATCCACATAGAAGCCTCTACTGTTTTGAACGTTTTAGTCATACAAAAAAGAGCAAGTTTTATATCAAGTTTATTATCCGAAAAATAAAAAAAAAAAGAAAAATACTATTTTTGTTAATGACCTTGGTGGTTCATATTCAATGGCAATAATTCGAGCTGTCGAATTCAAAAGAAAGTTGCAGTTGATGAAGCATTTTAAAGCTGCATCAACCATAAGCAATAAACCTCACATTCTGCATCAACCATATGAGAAACTCATTAAGTGAAAATGAATGATTTTTAAAGCTGCAAAAAATGCTTACCCTGAGGTCATCTTTTTTTAAAACTTCTTGTGTTGTTACTTCAAACTCTAATCTTTTTGATGGCATACGACTGACTGGTTTTGTAAGATCGAGATCCTCATAATGTACACAACTGATATGTTGCTCGTGTTTATATTTTGAATATCATAATTTAATTCTAACCATGTTATATACATGTAGTAGCTTTTTTATTAACAATCAACATGATAAATTGAAAGTGAGTATAATATGGTAAAAATGAATAGCAAATAACTGATTTCTATAAAAAAAACAAAAAAAACATTTTTGTTGTGTAAACTATACAACTTACAATTTCACCGTAACCATTCAAATATTAATGTGAACATTTTATTCGGCATTTAACATTTTTGGGGTATTAGATAAAATGTATATATCCCATCCTTTTAAAATGTTTTTTTATCATTGATTTTCCTAACCATGTAATAATTAAATACAAAGAATGAAAATTAACCTTGTTCTACCCTACTATATTTGGATATTTTTGCAAGCAATTAAGAACATGTTTAAACTTTAAACCATATAAAGATTGTCGTTTAAGAAAATATATGTAAAGTTGATAGTCATTTTTGTCCCTAATAAGTACAATTAGGATCTGTGTAGATTTCTTCAAATTCTTAACATGATGTCGGTTTGTTACAGGACAATATAAAAAAACTGGTAGACTTTTGCTTTGTTCTAACTTCAATACCGTTTTTGGCATCTTCAAGTACAATGCTATTACGGGTGAAAGACAAAGTAGATTACCTATAACGATAGCGAGAGAATAATACATGGCCATTACCTATATCCATGCCAACCTAAAAATGTAAAACCACATTTTGTTA